GCCCGCCCGTGACTGCGAACAGACAGACGGACAGACAGACACACGAAAGTGTGTCAGGACGTCACATGAAAATAAGTGAAGTAACGGTGTGTGTGGGGGGGGGGGGGGGGGTAGGCACACACAACACGCAGCCTTTTAGGCGGTTAGGTGTCAATGATTCATATCATACTCAGAGAGTGCAACCCTATGCACTCTCGCCGTGACGCCGCACCCGTTGCTAGTCATTACCGAGTGATTCACACGCGGGCGTCCGTCCGTCCGGATGAAATCAAACACGCCTTTGGTGCCGCGCGCCACCTGTCGGGTGGCGCTGCTGGCGCTGGCGGGCAGCTCGGCGCGACGCGGTGGCCGAAATCGCATTATTGATACTTCTCAATGTAAATGTGTGTCACTGTCGGCTCGGCGTCGCTTCGCCCCCGGTTGGGCCGCGCGATGCGGTGTAGGGCCGCGAGGGCTGGGAGCACAGCTAGGGAACTGGGATCAGGGAGCAAAAAAAATACGGTCAGATTGCAAGAGATATTTCACACACCTGCCAACACTGCGACAAAGACGACCCCAAACTCAGACTCTCTATCCTCAACGGTCGGGGCGGGGGTGCAAGTGTCACACACTAAACCCTGATGCATTTTATCGTGCATGTACTAACTACATAACCGGAGCGGGGGTACAAATATTGTAGAGTCCCAAAAGGATCAGGAATATCATCGAGGTCCTTGGGACTGTAGAACCCCCTCCGAAAAAAAAGGGTCCCTATCCCCTCCAGGTGCGGCCGCGGCGGGCTCACCTTTGGCCGGTGCGGCTTTGTGTGCCAGCTGGCGGTTCACGTCGCCGCTTCAGGTTCGCGCATTGTGAGGTCCTCCTCGCGCTTCACTAGAGCTTCACTCCAACCAACCCCCGGGGCAGGCGTTGATGTGGGCCCGTGTGTTGTGGTGTGAGGCCGCCGCTCGCGCGTCATGCCGCTGGGTGTGTGAGGGCTGTGATGACCACCAAGGTCACGGTGTTTGCGTGCTTTCATCCTTCCCGACCTCACTTCACCCGCGCGGGCCAACCAACCCCCTTTTCCTACTACTTCCCGTCCAACCTTTCGTTTTTCAAAGGTCGCCTCCACGTAGCTCTCTCGCGCGCGCGCGCTCGCCGAGACCTCTCTCGACGAAGGGGGTATATTCTTTTTCTTTTTCGTGGTTTCTTTTGGCGACGCGCCCAAGAGCGGGCAGGGAAAATAAGCCGCGGGTTTGTTTGTCGTCATCTCAACGAGAATTCATCGCCACACGCTCGAGCGTGGCCGGGGCGGGGCGGGGTGTGGTGG